ACATTCGTCAATTAATAATTGACATACATTGAGAAATGACGCATAACATTTCCACAATTTGACGTAATTTATCATGAATATGCTTGTCATGTTTATGTAAATGAAAGACATATGTAAAATATGGCAGTAAAGTATGGTAGCATGGTGGAAATAGCAAATGTCCATGGTGAAAATAAGCGTTCCCTTAATATATTGATGTTATTACAAACTTTATAAACTGTTTTTGAAAGTATTTTTTTTAATTAAATAAAAAATCATTTTATATATATGATAGTATAGTTTGTTAATTATGTGAAATTTTAAAAATATTAATAAAGAACATGTAACTTATTATTAAAAACTTTTCTATTAAGCATTTTACCCCTGTAAGTTGCTAGGTGAATAATTTTATTCTTCTAAAACACTACTTATTTTATTTCGAAGTTTTCGATGTTAACTATATATAAAGGAAATAGGAACAGATTAATTACGTTGTTGATTAGCTGCGTAGTTCAATAATTATCTACGTAACAACATTATAGTGTTTTTGATCGGTTAACTACTGCATAAAATGAGAAAGTACATCATATAGGGTTACAATCCTATATCCGACTAATCCAGATTAATCCTTAAATCCGGATAAATTCAGATATTCGGATTAGAGAGTTTTACTCGGATTTAAGAATTTAGATTATATACAAAATAAATTTTTTATAATTAATTAACCATTTCGACTTGAGATATTCCGTCGGAATTGTTCGAGTCTGTAAATTTTTGGATATGCTGTTTTTCTACCAATTATAATTACTAAATATTATTGATAGTTGAGAGTGTTGCATGCTGAAAGTATTTTGAAACTTCATAACGGTACAACACTATAACAGTATTTGCGTCTCAAATCTAGATCTCGTTACAGGGGGGTGTGTAAATCAAATTTTTTTGTGTAACGATCACGATGATCTGTAGTAAATTATTTGATCAACGTTAATAATATATGGACGACTCTATTTGTCGCCGGCAGTTACAAAAATCACAAAATTTCAATTCTTAATAACTCAAAATTATGTCTATGAAATCAACTTCCGTGTCTTAACAAAAAATATTCCTTGCATAAATTTACTACCTACTAGGAGCCTTTTAATTTAAATACAACTATAAATAAAATTTGGATGCCGTCACAGCCCGTGACAAATAGATTATTTTCATAAATTAAATAAAAATTTAATAAATTTTTTTTAAAAAAAACGCTCTTTTAATTTAAATATAGGTTCTACTGAGCAATTGAGCAAAATTTTCGAAATAGTTAATATGTAATTCGCAGAGGAGATAGTTAAAAATCTTATATGAAACGATTATAAAAAACTATCAATTTTCAAATTGTATCTCCTCTGCAAATTACATATTAACTAGCTTAAAAATTTTGCTCAATTACTCAACAGAATCCGTATTTTAAACTAAAAGAGCGTTTTTTTGTTAATTTTATGAGTTTCAATAATATTAATAATTTTTGTTAAAATTTATAGCATTTACTATAGATCATCGCAGTATATGAGATTATACATATATTGATCTACATAGTACATTTAGCACCCTACTGCTGCGAAATCCAAAACCCATCTTACGAAGGTCTTTCGCATTGTTATTATATCTGCGGAGCCTAATTACCACAAAACGAGGTCTTGCACCACTACTGCAGCCTAACTATCACTAAGCGAGGTTCTTACACTGCTATTTCAGCCGCAGAGCTTGACGTAGCTAACCATTACATCATTACCATTTAACTTACTAAATCAAGTGCAATCATTACCTTAGCTGTCGAGTTTCTGTAGAATGAGTGATAATAAAGAGAAAAATAAACTTTTTAAACACACTGATTATCAAACCGGTTTCTTTATCATTTTGTTAACAAGTCCTTCATTGCAATTTTATTGTATTTTAATTTTTTTAAAAAAAAACCGATGTATTCCCAACTTTGGGTACAATTGAATAAATCCGGTGACGAAGGTGCATGTGATAAACAAAATCTGCACTCACACCCTTAACACAATACAACATAACACCCAATCAATTGTGGAGCATCTTCATTAAAATTGTCGTACGTACGTACAACATATACTTCGTCACTCCGTTCCTGGAGATCAATCGGTCACGTGATTCGCATGACAATCGATCGCGATGGATCTTGAGTTGAAGGTTATGTATCAATGTGTAACTAGTAATGCAGAGCAAAGTTGTAATCGATAAGAGATCAAAGATGGTATAAGGCATAAATGAGGTGGCTAATTTGGATGCCAAAATTGCGCAGTCAAAGTATGAAGTAATCAAACGACAGAAGCCTTATTTTCGATAGATATAGATTATTTGGTTAAGTCGTACGAAACTTCATTAGATTTTAAAAATGCAACAATAGGCTGCGATAGACACTTTGTGCTGTAAGATACGAGCTTTCTTTTCTAATAATAAAGAACTCCGTTAAGCAATCAATCAACTAAAACAAAAAAAAATATATTATCCGTAAAACTGGTTTGAGATGAAAAAAAAAGAATTGGCTAGAATAATAATTTAATGGCATTAATAACGTTATCTTATAAACTTTCATAAAATATTTTTCAACAATCATTAAAATTATCTTGAAATGGAAATTTGAATAAATTTATTCTGCAGTGATCAGCCGGTTTTTCGATTAGGAAAAGACCCAGACGCGTATTATGATCTATATTATTTATAAATTTCCAATTCACTTATTTCTTGTGAATAATATTCATTTAATACGCAAAAATTAGTTTAACCATTTAACTTTTAAGTATCGAGTTGGACTGAGTTCGGACTTTAAAATCTTTATCGATTAGCATTAAACTTAATTTAACCTTATCAGTAGAAAATTACAACTGTCACTTTGATTTAACCATTTTTTAAGTGCCATACAGGAGCATGTACATACGTACGTACGTCCTACGCATCTTGTTTTCAAGTTTCCACATCTAGAATAATAGTAACACTTATTTGAATAGTCTCATTCTACCCAAAAATGGTATAAATGGAAGATCTTCTATCTAATAAACTTTGTTTTTTCAAGAGAGCAATTAAAACCGCAAACATATAAATATCCCACTGAATATTCTTTCTGATTGGAATTAAACCGTATTAAATACTATATACTATTATACAAGTTTATAAGTTTCAAATGCGTTTTATTTTTTCATTTAATTTCTTGTAATTAATTCACCAATTTTTTATTCTGTAAACATACAGTATATCCAAACATGGCACCAAAAGAGAACAATTCACTCCAAGCTATGGAAGACTTTTGCAAAAACATGAACCAATGGGTTGATGGTGAGGGTGAACGTCGCCGTCATGCCTTTAATCTTGGGCAGCTGCTCTTGAAAGCAAACCCAAATTCTAGGGGCAGAGATGGTTCCACTCGTGGTATATTTATTATCGGCGATCAAAGTTCTGCGAAATCTACCACAGTAAATAGTATAATTAAACAAGTTGCGCTGCAAATGGGCGGAAATACTGTCACTAAAGTCAGAACGTGGATTGAGCATCGATACGATCCGGATTTGGAGCGTGCTGAGTATGACTTAGTATTACAAAGAGGAGAAAGAGGAACTGAAGAGCTCCTTCACGGTGGTAACCTGCAGAGATTATCCGAGCAATTCACTCGAATAAATAATAGCATGGATGATACGGTGGAAGCTCGGATTATCATTCGCTCGGACATTCCGTCATTCGCAATAGATTGTTGCGATAATCCGGGATTGACTCCAATAAACGAAACGATACAAAAAATAACAGATAATATTACACGTAAAACATTGGAAAGGGTTTTAGAACGTCAGAAATCAAAAAACGATAGTATCGTGTTGTTATGCGTTTCAGCACTGTTTTTTGAGAATGCGTCCTGGCCACGTCATATGGACCTAATCGAGCAAATAAATGGGGATAATTTGATTGTCCTTGTAACAAGGATGGATCAGCTCAATATTCGGAGCGTTGCACAAGAAATTAAAGACGATGAGGATAATTCCGAAGATAACAACCCTGAACTTACTCGCTGCAGCGCTTGGGACGTCCTTAAGTGTATTCGTACAAAGATTCAACGTCAAACCGGTCCTCGTTCGTTTCCAGATGGCGTACAGTTTCATTATGCAGCTTCTAGCAGTGTTCGTTGGGAGGTGTTGTCTGGACCTAATGGATGGGGTGCATTTGTAGCATCAGAAACTGAGAACGACAAAAAGATGCGTGAAATTCTCGGTGTATGTGAAGATGAAACAAGACTCTTGCATAATGAACAAGCATGGCGCGACCATGGGATTGAATTAATTCCAATGAATCCAAGACAGCGATCAGAGTTCGATAAATGTGTCGGGATGTCAAAGTTACAGGAAAGATTACTCCAAAGGTTGCATGTTCATATATTAAAAGCTGCAGAAGAACTTTTAGACTATACAGCTGATTGGAAAAAAGCTGCAAAAATGGAATTAGATAATGTATCAAAACGTATGAAGCTTCCTGATGATCGAGCCGAGTTGATATCTCGGTTTTGCAAACAGTTTGTATTAGTATATCAAACATTGTTTGCTTCACCGTTGTATTCTCCGACGATTAATGCTGACCCTTGGTTAAAGGAATTTGGGGAAGGAATCAAAAGGGGACAAGAAAGCAGTGTGGGATACGGGTGGACTTCACGAAATATGTGGGAAATTTTCGAAAGTTTAAAGGACTGCGATGGATATGCAGAATTTCCACCTCAAGAATTTCGTGATCAAAAATTTAATTCCTACATGGAAGATATTGATAGATTCGTTAAACCTGCTAATGATAGTTTATATACAGCGCAGATGTTAATACAACGACTGACACAAGAATACACCATGCGATCAACCTTGATTCATCTACGTGACCTTGATGTTAGAACCTTCGTTCCACGTCAAGTACAATTGAGAACGTCGACCCAATTGAGTTTCGGACAGGCTGTAGATCAGAAGATTAGCGAGGACTACAGTCAGATTTTCCATAAACACGAAAAAAGGAATTCTAGTGGTCATCATTCACACGAGATACACGGAGGTAATCAATGGGTATCTGTACTTGGAGCTTTATGTTTATTGCTGCATGCAGAATATACTATCCGTATTATGCGCGACACAATATTCTCTTCCTTGTTACAAGCACAAAGCGATGATCCTATGCATGGTATTCTTGTTTCCAAATTTGAACGATACTGGAAATTGAGAAAAGATAAAATGATGGACCAGCAACGTGAATACAATACAGAAAGTCAGATTGCATCGATAATGATAAGCATCCGAAAGAAACAAGGTCCAAAAAAATTTCTTTCATCGAAGAATAAGGTAGCACCCATTGAAGATTTGTCGTGGGCAATCTATGCGATGTTCTTTGAGGACCCCTATAACTATTTTAAAAAGACATTAGATGAGCGTACTGATCTGTTGATGATGACACATGCCACATCTCTTGTCCACTTTTACCAGTTGAGTGGAATCTGTGTGCATCAGGATGAAGAATACCTGATCAGATGGGCGGCGGACAATCCGAATTCGGCATACGCGAGAGCCTTTCTAATTCGGGAATTTGATGTCAAGGACAGTATAGATGCTTTAATTAATGTAGTAAATCAATTAAAATCACAGGATTCAGAAATCGACAATACAGAACTGTTAGGAAGTGTGTTAAACTCAGGAGCCAACATAATTAATGGTGCCGTTGCTAAAAAGTTAAATTTATCTCCCACTTATTGAAGAACCTTAAAAAATTCCAGAGGGGAAAGAAGACTAATGATGTCTTATCGGGTGGTAGTGAGACGGAATCTGGAATCTTTTCGAACCTGTCGGAAGCGATAACTGAGCGTGTGAGAGCCATCGTAATGGGCAAACCACCAAGCTCTGAAGATAAAGTAAAGTTGTTCGTGAATATTGCAGATATGGGTATGAATCCAGATTCGTTTCCAGAGACAGAGAGCAAGACAGATATTACTAGCAAAGAAGAAGACACCGTCAATTACGTATATAGACGTCGTTTGACTATGGGAATTACGAGCAGTGTTATCGACACTACTCAACAACTTGCTAAATCGCAATACGAGTACAGTCACCAGCAAACCGCGCCAACTTTACAACGTGAATTGCTCGGTCGTGTCGCGTCTTTGATGCTTGGATATGGATATCCTTACCATCCTGATGCTCGTCCTTCATCCAAGTGGTATCTCTCACCGAAAGTGATTGTCCAATTTCTATTAGCCAACGAAGATATCTTTGTAGGCGATAAAAACATGCCAAACTCTCTTGATGATTGGAACGCTTTACTTGACCCTCGGATATTGGAATCACCGATTGTAAAACGCATCCTCTTTTTGTGTAATCCTACAGAAAACGATGATTACGATCCTAGAATAGTGTCGCATTATATCAAGCAACTTGACAGGGGCAAACCTAGTGATACGGATGAATATATAATCGAGCTTCTTGCCGATGACCGGTTTAACTGGCAACCTGATCAAGAGAACCTATACGGAAGAGTGGATAATTTAAAAAATGATATAGTCAAATTTAGTAGATGGCATGATTATGTCGAAGCATACAAAAAAGTTGCAGAACCAGTTTTGCTACGTGATGAGGACCTAGAACCCGAAATAAATTTTGAAGAGAAGGAAATAATCACTGAGCTTGACGAACTTGTTTATGAAGACAACGAATTTTAAAATTTTTTTCAAAAATATTAGCCCAGAATACATTATTCTCTTATTAATTTAATAATTCAGCGTTGGCATTTGGATTAATTGAAGATAATGTATGTAATTTGTTAATTGGACACTTAGACTAGGTTCAAATAATATAGACATAGTTTAAATGCCAAGATTGAATAATTGTTTATTGTACTATTAAATAATAAAAGTGATGTAAACTATCTTAGCTACCTTCATTTATTTTATGTGAAATAATTTATACTCATTACTGTTCGAGGGACTAGTGATGCTCTTCCATTAAGCGAAGAAGTTAACGATGTTATCCAAACTATGCAGGAAGTTTCAAACCAGTGTTTAAAATTGGCGTGCACAAGATGCACATGTGCACGAATTTTTTTTTGATTTTTTTGAATTTTTTAAAAATCCATTAAGTGTGCATGTAAAATTTTTAAAAAAAGATGCACAAAATACATTTGTGCATGTAAATTT